TTGTGTTTGGATGTTGACTGTTGTATTAATACATTAAAAGGATTAGAAGACTGAAAAAATCGAACAAGATTATTAATACAAACTAATGAAGATCTGAAGAAATTGCATCCTAGTGAAATGTTTAATTTCTTAATATATAAAACAACTGGGGCAGTTTATCATTATCTCAATAACATAGATATTCCAACGAAGACACTATTATATGGAACAACAGATGCTATAAATATCTTTGAAAAACTTTTAAATTCAATAACTTATGAATTCTTAGGACGACATCCTCGGCAAAGTAAACCAAACACAACCATAAGTCAACAAGCTATTTGGCATCTAACTAATCTTAGAATCTGCTAACATGTACCTCTTACATACCGTTTGGTATAAATGAATTCCATAAGTTTTAAGGAATTCATTTTGAAATGAAATATTTTTGTGTTTGGTATTAAAAAGAATTCATTTTCAGATATAAATTTCGAATTCTATTGAATTGGAACTAGTTATAGCAATTCCGAGGAATTGATAACGCGCTTCAACCTACAGGTATAAGCTCCTAATCTCTGGCCGTGAAAAACTAAGTGTTTGTTTCAATATCTCTTCATATGTAAGATTTGGGGATAAAAGTGACAATTCGGGAATGGAGAAAATTGAGAATGTAAGAATGCATAACTTTAGGCCCGCTTCAAGCATTGGTGACCTGGGTACATCCGAGAACAAACAAGGTGATAATTCTGATAACTGGTTCAAGAAAGTTGCAGAGCTGCATAATGTCGCAGACATGGATAGTGCATTCGCATATGATGATTTCCCTGACATCATGGCAATCCGCAAGGGCAAAGACATATTTGTACTGGATGATTAACCAATTCCTTTTCCTTAGATAGTTCCAAAGGAGAAAGATCGTTCGCTCACTTCTCCCCAATACAAGAGACGTGTGGCCATGGAGCAAGCAAATGATACAAATTATGTACCTTTCGTGCCCTTCCCACCCAACTACTTTGCCAAGAAGGTTGATAAACAAAAGGAAAGGGGATAGGGGGTCGGCGAACAAGGTAACTGATACTCCTAATTTTCCACTCCAAAGAGTTCGGCTAGCAACCTCAGACCTAGGTTGTTGTGTTCAGCCAGGGTTCCCAGTTTGAAGGGTGCACAACACACGTGCCCACAAACCCTGCCAAATTCAAATTTGAATTTGGTGGGAAGCAGAAGTCAACCATGTGGTTGGAATCCAGAGAATTCAGTTGGCAACTCCAGACCTGGAGTTTCGAATGCAACATCAATTATTGATTTGGAGAATAGACTGACTTTGATGGGGGCACAACCACCTTCCACATGGCCTATATCAAATCCCATTTTGAATGTGGTTGGAAGCATGAGTCAACCATCATGGTGGAGTGGGAAAAGCTTGGAAGGTTCGGCGGTGAAGGCAGATCTCGATCCTAATTTGGATATGTCAGAGGAGGCTAAAGTTGAGAGGTGGTTCATGTCAAGAATCATTTGATCTTAATAACTAGAGTTTTTGGGAAGGGGTTCAATCATGCATAGTCAGTAAAATACGATACAGGAAAGTTACATATAAAATACGTATTGGTATTTTATTTTGTCTCTAAGCTAATATTACGTTTAATAATACATAACAGATGGGGTCATTAGGATTCGAACAGAAGACATCTTGTTCACAGAAGGCTCTGATATCATGTCAAAAACCAGTTGATCCCAATAACTCGAGTTGTTGGGGGATGTTCAATAATGAATCATATACCATTTACTAACACTTTAAACAGGTGGCTTAAATCAAGGACATATTGGAGGTAAGCCAGATTCCAGATGAAGATTTCATGTTGATAATGCCGATGCAGAAAGGTGTGAACCGATTTATGGTGAGCAAAAGGAAGATGCCGTTGGAGAGAAGTTCGTCATCTACCCATTACATATGAAATCTTCTGATAGTTAGCTCCGATCAGCCTCCGAGAAATAAGGGTGCTGATGATTCTCAGTGGAACAGGAAAAACAAAACATTATAGAGAAATCGTTTTCCATTTGTTATCTTATCGTGTACCATTGTTCTTGGATTCCATTTACGATAAAGAAATTATTCCTTCGTGTTAGTTTTCAGTTTCTACATTGCCCTGGCGGTTGAACAATCGCGTGAGCTCATGGATTTCACAAATGATTGGCCTAATAGACATCCAGAAATTCTCTCAATGGTCCAATTGTCCTATGACTCACCATTTTGTTCGATCAATGTCTCTACTATGCAATGTGTCGACTATTGTAGGGAAATGGGTTTCAACTATTGTCGGAGCTCTCCACTCTGTGCTCACCATCGTCGTTCTGCTTCTGACCTTCTAGACTCTGTTTTCTGCTTAATTGACAGGTTTATCAATGATTAACTCGAAGGGAAAAGCAAAAAGCCTTGCTACTATGAAAGGGGAGACGGAAATAGCACAACCTTTGGTGAGATTAGGCTCCCAGAGACGAAGTCGAGTAGAAGAAATGTGTTTAGGATAACCGGTTCTCGTCTTCCGTCCAAAAGGTTCAAACTTCAGCTGGTGGATTGCAAGGAGTCTAGTGACGACTGTGGCACCGCCGTCGGAAGATGGTTGGATTGTCTGTGCAATCTTGTGTTTCTTCGACGATGAACGAAATAATTCCTTAACACCTCCATTAACGTAAAAAGCTTGTGTTTTTTCGCTAATTTCCTTTTCGTCAGAATTTGACATTCTACAGCTGCTGCCCATGTAAAAAGAAATTGAGAATGTGGTATTTTTACATGGATTCCTCGCTTCATCGTCGTACTAGACTGAAAAAATATTTCCAAAACTCTTGGAACCCAAGAACCGAACTAACAAGTTGTGCGCAATTGACCTGTTGGGGTTCGGCAAAAGTCACAAGTCGATGGAAAGTCTCTACACACTGCAGCACCATTTGGAGAAGATTGGGGTGGTATAAGAGCCTTCAATGAGTGAGAGCTCTTGTGTTCGAATCCCGATGAACCCCATCCGTTAAGCACATGGTATTTAGACATGTGCAAGTTACAAGCTCATATGAGTTGACTATAGTTTGAGGGTGGCTCTTAGTATATGGTATAAGATCCATTATTAAACCTCTTTCAACAACACGAGTTATTGGTATCAATTAGTTCTTCACAAATTTAAGCAGAGATAAACCTACCAATAATGCTCATTTGGAGTTTGTTTAATTTCATGGTTTTCTCTCCATTTGGTAGATAAGCATGATCATTAGTGAGACTCTAAGGTTGTACACTCTGGCGTTCTCAATATTTGCTTGTGAAGTCCATACATAAATGACGATCGGAAAGCTCATCGTGCCTCCAAAAGTCCAAATCCACTTCTCGTTCATGACATGGTATAAGTGGATAAGTTAGCATATACAACCCCAAAGAAAAACTTGAAAAAGAGAATAAAGGTTGAAGAGAAAGAGGAAAATAGAACTGTTAGAGAAACTAACACTCTGGCCTACAACTGTGAGTTGTGATACCATGCCTTGCACTAGTCTCCAGTCACTTTAAAGAACCTTTGATGATGTCCCCGAGCATAGTCGAACAATGGCATTGAAAACCTAAGCATATGTAGTCACTAGCGATCCATCTCTTGGGAAACAAATCGAGGGGGAGGTTAGAGACTTTGTGTTGCACAGTTTAGTCATGTGTTTGCTTGGTGACAAAAAAACTCCTAAGTGGGGGGTAATTTGATAACACCAAATTTGGTGTTATTTAACCTTCATTTCTTGGGTGTTTCCATAATATTTAGAGCGTGATTAGATCAATTAAATTTCATTTGTAGTATAGAATGCTTCCTCGCGTCAATTTATGTCTTTTTAGGGGGCATTTGAGGATAGAAGCGAAAATGACAAAGAAAGCGAGATCAGAGTTCGTAACCACAGAGCAAAATTCACAACTGAGAACCCATGGACTTTTAAAAGATCACGACCAAAGCAAAAGTTTGCAGTCGTGAATTCAGCCACCAGGCCGCAATCTCCAGGAGGCTGCAAACAATGAAGACACAAAAGGTCTCGTGGTCCGTCTCGCAGTCCTTCGTGAGGTTGTGACAATGTTTGCGGCCGCTACGTCTTGTTCACGGTTGTGAATTCCATCCCGAGAACTCACCTCCAGCGCATACCAAAATGGGTGAGTTTGAGAAGATCTCCGTCATTGCCCTTTCCACTGAAACAGTTATGCTTCTTTTGAATTGGCTCAAGCTCCCTATTTTGTTTACATAGGATCAAAATCCCGATTTTGGTACGATTTTACGATTTTATGATTTTAACGCTTTTAATCCAGATTTTGAACGTTTTTAAGGTCCACTGATTTTTTTTTTAGAATTAAAATCCCGATTTTATGATTTTAACGATTTTAATCCAGATTTTGAACGTTTTAAAAGGTCCACTGATTTTATGGTAAAATTTTACGATTAAAATCCCGATTTTGACTGCATTGACGGGGCTCAAACCTGAGACATCACACATCTCAAGACCGAAAGACCACACTCCCGCCCAACTCGACTTTGTTACCTTGAGTTGACCTTATACCAATCATTTTATTTCAACGTAAAAGTTAGATTTTGACTATCTTGGCCCAACCTAATGCTTATTCGCATCTGTTAGAATTTATATGAGTTGAGTTATCAATTAGAGCTATTATCATTCCACTTATTTTTTGTATCCTCGTAATTTGAAGCGATGGTACACATGCATCAAAACCAAATAGACATTTATGATTTAAAAATGACCAAAGATTTCCTTAATCAATCATTTGAAAAATACATGAGCAATACGAATAAGTATTTATAGTTTCTGCTAATAACTGACTCCACATACTCGAGATTCGAGAACCTTATTGTATGCAGAAAATAAGATAAGATAAAGGTAGACTCAAACACAACCAAAGCAGCAAAAGGGGGAAAACAAACAATAGAATCAACCGATAAAATAGGGAAGGGAGAGGCACACATCTATACAAATATATCCAGAAACAGAGAATGAAGTTATTGGATCATCTTGTACCAGATGGAACAATCAGTGAGTTCGAGCCTAGCTTCGAGGGTATGCTCACAATTTGTGCTAAGTTTGTTCTTAGCAGTGACCAAACATGCCCAACAATCCAGTTTCCAGAGGTGCCTGTCACAGGTAGCACCTCCAATAACTGAGCCGTTGTCGCGATTCGGGTAGCTGTGAACATAACTGTAGTCGTTGTGGTGCCTGCGTTTCACATTTTTTGTCTCGTCCACAAAAATGTCGATGAGACGAGCCACTTTGCTGTTGTACTCTTGATCCTCTGACTTGCCGACGCAATCTGGTCCCCTGATAATGCTTGTGTCTGCAAGTTTCGCGTCAACTACAAAGAAACTCGAAATGGTTAGAAGCAGGAAAGTTGCGACAACCATCAATTTTGATCCGGAATCCATGTTTTTTCTTTATGTTTTCTTTGCTTCACTCTCTGGCTCTGTTTCTCTCTGTTTCAGCTCTTTATGTACACTCTCCTCTTCCCAAATGAGCCCTATAATCTACTTTATGTATGGTGTGTTTAGGGTGAGAAACAAATGCAGCTTCCCCACTCCTTTTATAGCTACTTGATCGCCGGTGCACAAAATTGGTTTCCAAAATCTCATCGACGAATTGAGACAAGAGAGGGCATCTGGAGAATGCGATTGCGGGAGGTATCATCCCTCTGTTTCGTTGGGGAATGCCTTTAGTTCATTATCGTTGAAGACAAAATGTCACTCGCAGATCCGAAGATACTGTCTTCTGGACTGGCCCAGAAACTGTTAACCCATTTCTTGTCATACAGTTTGGGCTACCAGATGACTCCTCCTCTATTCATGGGCTAGGCCGTCCGACTAGAGTGCAGACAGTTGATTTGATGAAGCTCTTAGTGACTTATGCTTGCAGTGTTACGCCTTTTGAGGATGTGAATATCGAAAGCACACAAGCAGTTGAATTAGCTGTTCGTAACATATTGGGTCAGTTGTCCCAGTTCAGCTACAACAGCATTGCTAGTTTTCAACCATCGCCAGCTGTGAGAAATCAGTTCTTAGAGAGAAATGTTCAATGACCAGTCGGGTTGGGCCAAATGTTGAAATGAAGAAAGGTGACTGTTGGTTACCTTGAATCTGTTGTTCTCTGTCTAAATGGATTCTTATTTTTGACGTCTCAAGGTGTGCTTTTAGGAATCGAAGCATAAAACTCATTGGTAATGACACTGTTCGTTGCCGTTATTGGGGCAGGTGTGCTTTTATGAACTTTGCAAGGAACCTCAAGTGCCTTGATGTGGAGAAGCACGCTCAAAGAGACAGCTTACTGGCGGAGAGTGGGAGTGTCCTGAGTAAGCAGTTATTAAGATCCCGTTCACTTTTCATTTTTTTTTTTAAATTTTGGCAACAGAAAACAAAATTTAAAGAAAAAGAAGACGTCATTTTCGTAGAATCGATTTCAAAAAACCTGATAGTGAAAACCTGTTTAGGTGGAATTTTTGGTGAATCTGGAAACTATAATCTAAAAATAAAAACCTGTTTAGTTAATTACTAAACCTAAAAAAGAGAATATGTTCAAATGCAATATTACACAGAATTTACACAAAATCTATTGTGACAATAAAAATATTTGCATAAAAATTTGTAGGCACAAATCGAACTTGGTGTAATGTTATATGTTACTACTCATATATTAGATGAGACTTTATATACTTTATAAATGTATAAACGATATAATAATTTTTACATATATATCCGAGCTAAATCGAACTACAGTGGTCGAACCATTAACTCTCAACACAATTATATATTCAAGGGGACCAATGCTCTAAACTGGGTTGACAAGAGTATATTTAGTAAATACTCCGTTTAATACATGTATATGTACCTGTATGTATTTTATCCATTTAAAACTTACACATCCGTATTATTTTAAAACCGTTTCATTTTTCCCCGTTCATTTAATGACTCTCATACTAAACATGTATAAAATATGTATAACACATTCAATATCCATATTTAATGAGTTAAATTGCTAAATTAATTTTTATTTATATATTTATTTATTTTGATAATAATTATATTTACATATTTATAAACTATTTATGTACTATTAAACGTAACATTAGTTTAAAAACGAAATAAAATATCCACACGTATTTTATACTAACTAACCCGTACAGTATTTTATTTATTAGTTTCTCTTTCTTGTTTCTACGGTCTCGCGTTGAGAGAAAATAGGGAGTGATGTTTTAATTGGACAGATGGCAAAGAATGATTGGTTGGGTGCACCACGTAAGTAATCCATGCTGGTACACCCGCTCTACTGAAGATTTTCTCGGGATTTCCATGTCCGCGAATTAATTGCTCTTTATGTTGGAATAGGTATTTGCATGTCTCGGCTATCGCATGCAGTGTTCTTGCCCGCAATTGATAGCTTTAAGGCCGCAATTAGTGATGATGGCTGAAAAGAAAGAGAGGGAAAGATTGAAGAGAAGGTGTATGTGATTAGCGGATGTAAGTTTTCTTTATTCTTAGTTAAAAAAACTAAGGGAGATATCTACGTAGACGAGAGACGAGTAAGGTAAAGGGATTTGAGCAGAGCAGAAGGTCAAAGGATTTGTGGCTAGGGATAAAGTAAGAAACAAAGGATAGAAGAGAGATGGGTGAGAGGCAAATCCCAAACCATCGAAATTAGTTCATTGTAAAGCACCGGAACAGGCCATAATCAGTGGCGTAGCCAGAAAATTATCATAGTGGGGTCCAAACATTAAAAAAAAAAAAACATACGTTATTCATCAAACGGTTCAACCACGAAAAAACCGGTCTAAGGTTAACAAAAAAGAACATATGTCTACCTCTGAAAAACAAAAACAGTTGTTTACCTAATTTCACAATGAACCACGACGAGTTTTTTATATTCTGAAAATATTCTAAAACAGATTCCTTATCTATACTATTAAGTATGTCACTCTCAATGTACCCCACCAAGCAATCATTCATCCAACTGTCACCCATCCGATTCCGAAACTTGTTCTTGATGTAGCTCATTGCAGAAAAAGCTCTCTCCACACTTGCAGTTGCAACAGGTAAGATCAAAGCTAGTTTTACAAGCATATACACCAGAGGATATGATAGATGCTTATTTGTCTTCACCATCTTCTTAGAAAGCTCTGCAATTCCTTTCAGTTATCTGAAGTCCTCAGTTGACATCATATCATAAATATATGTATCAAGCTGATCATCTAAGCATGAGATGTCCACATTTGAGAAGTCTTCAGGATAAAACGTGGCCAGCTTCAACAACATATGCTTCTTAAAAGCAGCAAATGAATTATCAGGAGTTAAGCAATCCACACAGCACAACAGTTCTGTTCTCACCTCGTCAAAACGATTGTTAAGCTCTTGCAACTGCATATCCACCACTGTATAAAATAACTCAACCTGAAAATGATGTATATTTGTGATTTGTTGAGCATTCCTCCTTGATCTTCCTAGAGGAACATAAGGACCATTCATATCACAAATGGGTAGACATTCTTTGTTGCAGAAAGACAACACTTCATTCAGAAGTGGTTCCCATCCTTTATCCCTCAAGTCTTGCAATCTGTTTTTTGCTGTTTGAACAAGTCCCATTGCATTTATGATGTCTTGATCTTTTCTTTGCAATGCCAAAGACAGCTCATTTGTGATGGCTAGAACTTTAGTCATCATTCTCAAGATGAAAGCAAAATCAAAGGTTTGAATCAAAGTCAACATAGCTATTGCTTCACCTTTTGCTTCAGAATTCCCCTCACACCTTATGACATCCAACCCATCAATCACAACAGTGAACATCAAACTCAAATTAACAAGAGTCCCATAATGTGACCCCCAGCGAGTATCCCCTGGTTTCTTAAGCCCAATCTCTTGATTCAAACCTCGACCACTACTTATTTCACCACGAGTCAAGGACTCAGCAACTCTGATAGCATGGCTATCCCGAATAGTGTCTCTTCGTTTACAAGACCCACCAACCAAATTGAGCAAGTTACCAACAGTAGTAAAGAAACAACTAACATCTCCATGATTTTTAGCAACAGCAACAAGTGTCAACTGAAGTTGATGGGCAAAACAATGGACATAGTACAGATGGATTTTCTGTCAAGATTAATGTTTTGAGTCCATTAATCTCCCCTTTCATGTTGCTTGCACCATCATAACCATGTCCCCTTACTCGTGTCAAGCTTAATCCATGTCTTACGAGCATTGAAAAAATCTCCATCTTAAGGGTCAAGGCTCTAGTGTCTGGAACATGAGAAATACCAAGAAATCTCTCTACAACACATCCTTGCCCATCTACATATCGCAATACAATGGCCATTTGCTCTTTCACTGACACATCACGGGACTCATCCACCAAGATAGCAAAAAAACCATCACCAATATCTTGAATGATTTTCTTGGTTGTTTGAGATGCTATGGCATGAACTATATCTTTTAGTATGTCTGGGGAAGTCATCTGAAGATTTTTAGGAGTCTTTCCTAACACAACTCTTTGTAGATCTTCTCTACCACGAGCATGAAAGTCTAGAAGTTCAAGAAAATTACCTCTATTTCTTGAAGAATCTGATTCATCATGTCCACGAAGTGCCAATCCATTGCGTATAAGAAATGTGATGCAGTCAACTGAAGCCTCTAGGCAAATCCTGTAGTCTTTCTTAGCTTGATTCGACTGTTTGCATAGAGCAACTTGGATATTTTGTGACTGTTTCATCAAAGCCTCGCAGTTTCTTGAAGCTATATTGTGTGGACTATTAGGACCACCAACATGAGCACCCAACCTCTCAATCTTATTCCAGCAATTAAAACCTTCCCAAATGAAAGCATCACTTCCACCCTTGTTTGTATCTCACTTCTAAATAAGTAACAAGGCAAATAGTAAGCACCATCTTTAGAAAACTGTACTCTAGCCACGAGTACTTGTTGTACCAAGAAGGATTAAACCTTCGTTTCCTTCCACCAATATCTCTAAAGGGAAACTGTTGCAATTGAGGTTGGCATGGTCCTTTTTGAAGATAAGCTCTTCTAACCTCATCTTGAGCATTAGGATTGAATGATGTTATTGGTGGTCTTAATCCCGGGTCAGCCTGGAGAGAATTCACGTCGACTTTCTGTTTCTTGGCTAATGAAGGAGACTCACGTGGTTCTTGATGAACAATGGAGCCCCAGTATCTTCGGGAACTGTAGAGTTGGATGCTAGAGTAGTCTCCGCTTTCTTTGCAAAATACCGCTTCATAACTTGTTTGGAATCTAATAAGTAAACACAATACTAATCAATATATAATTTAGGTTTCAATAGCTAAACTATGATTTTTATGAACTGATTCTTCTTCGAAATTGGGATAATGGCTGGACAGTGGACATGGAAACATTTAACACCGGCATAAATCAAATAATAGTATGTACCAAAGCGAGGAATAACGACAAACTAATTGAGGTTTATTATTTTGTTTACCACTGAATTTTGATTTTTGAATATGCAGCAAAAGTAGGTCGCCGGTCGGGGGTAGCTGCAATGGAGGAGAGGCGACAGAGGTTGTAGTAGAAGACCCGCTTCGTGCGTCCCGTGGCCGTGCCGGTGGAGAGTCCGATTTTACCACGCCTAACGGGAACGATGGAAGCACAAAGGTTTTTCTAGGGACTAGGGCGGCACAGCAAACGACAATGATTATGTTTCAATGAGTAGGGATTAGAATAATGGGAGACTAATCCGATGCTTTGTAGATCGGTGCACTAAATTTCAAAGTATGTATATAATGTAGAATTAATCATATCAACAAGCACTTCGTGTAGCGTGGCGGTGATGAAGGTGAACTGGTGAATGTGGGGTCCTTGGTTCGATAACCACAACCCACAAGCTCTTATTCCTATTTTTACAACGTTAGTCCCCTTTCTAGGGGGTCCATGCACCCCACAGCCATCAACGTCCCTCCGCCAATGGCCATAATACAGGTTCATAGGCCATCTCCGCCCCACGACAAGGTGCGGCATCACCACCTAGTGGTACATTATTTCCCTTTCTCCTACTATCTCAACTTCCAATCTTCTATTGATGTAATGTGATTCATGATATAATGACATATCAATTGTAGAGCATCTCTTGAAGAACTACTTTTTTACGGTTTCGAATTGATAAAGAATTGAGATAGGGAAGAAAAGAATTGGGGATTTAGAAGAAGAAATTGGAAATCGAGGAGAAGAATGGCCGACGACCTTTAGGGATAGGTGACGAATTGAGAGAAAAAGATATTAGGCTTTTGAGATCCACTTCGATAATACTTTTCTAATTAATTCTCACATAAAATCCAAAGTACATATTTATAGGAAACATACTGGAAAAACCTAAAAATAGGCTTATATTATCCCTGATTCTTCTCGGCCACAACAGGCCACCTAACTCCAAATTACCCTAATAATAATAATATTTCTAACATTTTCACCCCCTTAAAACCAACCTTGCCCTCAAGGTTGTAGCCAACGTCAACTTTGCACTTCGACTCCCTTCGATAATAGCTCAATTGTTGCTCGCGCTTCCTACTCTTCCAATTCCATTCAAGGACTCGAGAAAAACTCATGTCTTCATCCTCCCTCCCTGACGGCTGACTCCGTCAAATAATGATCAACTAGCTGCTCCTCCTTGTGTCTGCCATCACTAACGTCTGGGAATTTGATTGTCGAGTGCTCCATAGCCTCCAACGCATTACTAGAGGTAAAAGCAAGCCATACATAACCTTCCCGGTGCTCCATATTGCCCAGGAGCTGTGCAGCGTCCTCCAATTTCCAAACTTTCTAGATCACATCTTCCATTTTCGTTATATGGTTCAATACATGCAAAGTTTAAGCATTTGTAAGGACTTCCCTTTGACGGTCACTGACCACTCCGACCCGCGGCGGATCCAGAACAGGTCAAAGCACTAGGCCGCATTTAAAAAGCGATGAAGAGGGTTGGGCTGTAACCTAATAAACACTGAAATATATACCCAAAATCAAAAATTTACAAGTACTATACGAGTTTTGGATCCGGGGAGGGCTGGGTCGTGGCCCGGGGGCGCCCCCTAGATCCGCCGCTGACTCCGACTCCAATCACCATACCTCTTCTTTGCATATCTACAATAATGGCATATGTGTTCTTGAGCTTCGTATTCCCACCATATACACATGCTCTTACTGTCCAATGAAAGGGATTGCAGTATAGTGGCTTAAGCAATAAATATTGAATCCGCGTGTCTCTAGAGTTACTATTACTCAGTTTCGGTTCATTATCTAGCAAACTAGATTATAATAGAAGAACTATAACTACTCTAGCAAACTATAGTTAAAGTTAATCTAATTACAGGTTGGGAACTCACTTAAGTGTGATTCCCCCTAGCCACTAGCCAGATTAATGATTAATGATCTCTAACTTGTTTCACTTTCATTCACTGCGGAGAATCCTCAACTAGACCTTGAATCTCAACTAAAGCAACAAGGTCGTCTTGAGTCGATTGCCTAGAGGGACATATCCTTCTTTAGAACAACCGATCAAGGCGTTTTGAACTAGATTACCTCTATCGAATGAGGTTCTCAATCGATACAAAGCAGTGAATCGACCCTCGACTAAAACAATCGATCCAATACTATCAATCTATGGTGCTCTATTGACCTAATCAGGTATTCGCTCTCATAGGACCAAAGCAGAATCAATAATCTTGACTACAGCAAAATTGAATCATGAAAACATGTTGACACGCTATGACACAACACCAAACTACGACAAAGTATAATCGCAGCATGGAAATGCAGAATAGTGAGTAAGTTTAATTTATCAACCAAGGGTCTAGATCTACTGCCTACTCCGTGAAATTCTATTATCTAGCGGGACTAAGTGAGTGAAGGTGAATTCAAACTAAACAGAAAGAAAGCAGTAAATTGTCCGGTTTCCTGAAGCAAGAGAATAGTCACTCGTGAATGAGTCTCCCTAGCTCCTTAGTTAGGTCCAAGTTGTAATTTTCTTAGGTTGATTTACAGTTGATTAAACTGCGGAAGATCCGACAGTAGCTTGAAATCTCTTAAGTTGACCAAGCCCTCTTAGATAGACTAACCGACAGACAACTAGTCTTCACCGGTATAGATAGCTAAAGCAGTTAACATAGAACTCCACTACTGGAATTGAATTCCAGTACAAAGCAGTGGATTGACTAACTCTTGTATAATCAATCCACTCCTACCAATTGAAGAAGCTCTAACAATCTAATCAGATTCTATCTATCTCAAGTTACAGCAGAAATCAAGAGAATTTGATCAGGATCTAATTGACTCAATAAACACGCTTCAATCGATTATAATCAAATAGTATTTCAATCCAAAAGTCATTACAAACAAAATCCCTAACACATGGAACTAGGGTTCTTCATACCCAAGTGAGAGAAGGGTCTGCTCCATAGAGAGAGAGAGGAAAACAAAATTCAAATCTGTCATATTCATAACGATGGGAAGAATCAGCTCTAGGATGATAATCTTCACTCCTACGACGAAATCCAAGCTTGATTGATGAAACCCAGCTCCAGAATCAATCCTAGGGTTTGTTCTTCGCACTTTCTCTCTCTATGACTCTGTTTTTGCTCCAAAAAGTTGATTCCCTCTTCAAAGACCCGAAATTGGGTTAAAAACCCAGTTCTTCCCGATCACACGGCCAGGCCACACGGCCGTGTGAAATTCCCAGCTTGCCCGTGTGACTTCCCAAAACGTCGCGTTTGATTTAGTGACTTAGGACGGGCTACACGGCAGAACGACACGACCGTGTGGAAATCCGGCCAGCCCGTGTGGCATCTCTAGAAATCCCACACGACCAAAAGGGTCCTTACACGGCCCGTGTGGCCTTGCCCGCGTAAAGGTGTTCCACACGGCCAAGTCACACGGCCGTGTGGGATTTTTGTCAGGCCGTGTGGTTTCCTCAACTTTTTGTCACATGTCCCAACTTTGTCCAATCGACTTCGAACTCGTGCCCAAACCTTCATTCACGTACTAGGACCTGAAATATCACAAACAAGAGCACCCTAGCGTAAAATCGGTTTAAAACAATAGAAATGAGGCTCAAACAGTATAAGAATGGTGGACAAAAACATGTGTAAATATCGAGTCATCACATGCATAGATTGAATATGAACTCAAGATTATCAAGTAAGAGTACTCATTCAATCATCCAATCAAACAAACATGGTTAGGGTTTTTCAAAACCTAAGTGAAGGGACGTTACTCCATAGAGAAGAGAGAGACTTCAGTAAGAATCTTCAGATGATCAGTCTTCAAGTCTAGGCTTGTTCCTAGAGCTTCCAAGGCGAAGAAATCCTTCAATTCCACTCCAAGATTGCCCTCGAATCGCCCTCTCTCTCTCTTTGGTTCGTCCCTTGGATGTTTGGGATCCAAAACCCAGCTCTCTCCCTCCAAAAACGCACAAAACAGGCTTTTATACCTGCTTCTGGAATTTACCAAGTCATATTACCCGGTCGAGTATTGTTGGTTCACAACCGGGGGTCTTCAAAACGCTCCGGGTCACTTTTCTATGCAAACGGGGAAATACCCGGTCGGGTTTTTCAGATACTCGGTCGGGTATTATTGGTTCATGATCGGGGGGCCTTCTGTTCTCCTTGGGAAATACCCTATTAGATTTTCAAAATACCCTATCCGGTATTTTGAACCTACTGACCATGTATTTTTCAATTTTGGGTCCCCTGT